AACGTTCAGATGATATTAATTCATAAAGTCAAGTCTCTAAATCTTGAAGTCTAACTCCAATTATGATATTGTTGATGATCCTCATACCAAAATGACTTGATAATAGATCGATGGATGTTTTTATTGGATTTTCAGCTGTTGCTACAAATTTACAAAAGTATATTTAATTTTACTTAAAAAAGCATTTCGCTAAGATAAGCAATAGTGTTAATGTGTGCATAGCTTTTTCAAACAATGTATTGTAGGAAGCCCACTCTTGTTAAAATGAAATTCTTTAACTAAAGACAATAAACACTCCAACTGACTGCGAGACTGTTGAGTGCCTGCACATTTGTTATTAATAAATTATTAATGTGCTTCGGCCGGTTTCCTGCATCACATTGACGCTTTCAACAAATGTGTTGTCATGTTCCGCTAAAAAGTAGAATCTATTGGCATTTTGTTTTGACGACTCCAAGGCGATAATGCAAATGTCGCATTATCAGTACACTATGTGTTGATTTATGAACAACACACTCGTCCAAAAAAGTATTGGGAACTGCTGAATAAAATAAAATGTCAATTTTCATTTTTTTTACTTTGTTTTTGTTTTTTAAATCTTGAAATATTTAATATGTAATATTTTAGCTATTCCTTTTCATATTATGCCGGAATATCAGTTATTTGCCATAAATGGTTATGCTAGCATGCTCAAACATGAGTAATGTTTAATGCAACACTTAGGAGGTTGCGTAAAGCTAATTGAGTTAGATTTTATCGTCGCTTGAGTCATTACTAAGCTAAAATAATGTCAAGTTAAAAGGTTAAAATTCTACCATAGATTTCGCCCTTGTTAACAGAAAAAAGTTGCAATTTTGAAAAATTGATTTAAAATGAATGATATTTCTTAAGGTATTATTTTATCCTAAAATAGAGAAATTTTTTTCGATGTTGAAAAGTTGACATTAAAAATCTTTCATCGTCCGATATTATGGCTTACATTTACGACCACGTTACATGTAAATTGTCCGAAAAAGTATTTCGCTTCGAACTATTTTCTATAACGTTTGTCCTTGAGCCAAAACATATTGGTGTACTGATCGTCATGAAAATATGTCAAAAATTTTGTGGCCTGTAGACTGAACACAAAAATTCACAGACAAATGCACAGGCGAAATTAGACGGTTCATCTTAGGTCCTTGACAGTGCTGCGTACACCCTTGTAAACTTAACATGCCCTATACCACTAGTACTAGTACTAGTAAGATATAATAATAGCCGTATACTGAGCAAAATCGTAAGTTGTAAGGCAATTTTTGATTGTCTCTGCTATTGTTCTATGTTATTGCGACTATTCCTTGGGGCTCACAAAATTCATACAAAATCAAGAAAAACACATGCTTATATAAATATAGTTGGATTTGAAAGTCTATTCCGTTCATATTAAACAAAAATGAAATTGAACAAAATGCCTGTTACTGATGCTGACAACAATCCACAATTGCCTAGCGCTAGAATCTCACGCTTTTATATAAAGAGCTTTGTTCACAAATCAACAGCGTTATGTCAAAGATCTATTGCTTAGATCCGCACCTTAAAAGGTTATAAATGTTTAAATGCTTAAAAATGTTTCACAAGAACCAAAGACTGATTAGAAGATTGAGCAAGAAAGTGGTTGACTTAGCGCAATCCAAACCACTCTGCTTCAATGTTGTACCCTCCTGCCGGATATTGGGATATGTAAAACTGTGTTTGTTTCATTTGAGTTTGTGTTATAAAACCTTCCGCACTTTTGAGTTATTTGGAACCTCTTGACCTCCTTTTATAAACATTTCCAGATCCCTGTAGGAAGAAGTCACCCAAACGCTTTTTTTAAAAATAATTCTGTTTCGCCAACTCAGTTGTTGAACATTGAAGATTCACTTAAGTTGAATGCAATTGGCTTTTTTTTGTTTTTTTTTCTTTTCCATGATATACATAGTTGACTTTTTTCTTGTAAGAGTTTTAGTTGCAAGTTATTCCATTTAATGATTTTCCTCAATGAACAAGTTAATTAATTATAAAAGTTATTCTTTGGAAATTTTTCTCACTCCCATGCAGAATTCTCATTAACGTGTATGTTCACGAATTACATAATAGTTGCGTGTTGGTCCCTTAATGATCAAATGTTAAACATCATAATATTTGCAAATAATTGAAAATATCTGAAAAACATGCGAAAGGAAGAAAGATAGTCAGGCGACTAGTGTTACATAATTTAAAAAAAAAAAAAAACAAAAGATATTTAGAACCTTTAGTGCCTTTTAATGCCTGAGTGAGATTTTCCCAAGGAAATGAATTGAAACATTCTACCGTTGGGAAGTTGAAAGTTTTTCTTTTTTAATTGCTTAAGCAATTAATTAATCTTCCATAATGAAATACTTGAACTATTTGAGTTTACAACAGTGGTGCAGCAGTTTTACGAGTCAGAAGTTAATAACGAGTACGTGATAAGGGGAAACGCAGCGGTTCTGAAATGTTCGATACCCTCATTTGTAGCCGATTTCGTGCAGGTGGTATCTTGGCAAGACGAAAGCGGTGAATTGTATGCTACTTTGGATGAACCGAACGGCAGGTGTACTGGAAATATTTTATTAAGATTTTTTTTTTTTTTTTTTTTTGGTCACCTATAGAGTTCATGTTTTCCAAATCACTCCCGATCCGTTTATTAAACTTAATTTTTTTTTTTTTTTTTTACGTTTTATCAATTTTAGCGGTGAATCAATTCTATGAAGCCGAAGTGGTCTCTGAATATGTAATCAAAGGCAATACAGCAGTCTTGAAATGTACCATACCCTCTTTTGTAGCCGATTTTGTTAAGGTTGAGGCTTGGTTAGCTAGTGATTCGACAGAGTATTTACCCTCAACAAGTTTTGGTTAGAAAATGATATATAAATTCTATAGCAAACGAAATCATACTATAAGGTCTAACTAAAATTCCTTCACATTCCTCGTTTTAATTTAATTTTTAAAGAAAGAAAAAATTTTATTATTTATGTGTAAATATTTACTTTATAGTCGTTAATCAACATTATGGGGCCGATATTTTAATGGAATATGTTATAAAGGGTAATGCGGCGGTTTTGAAATGTTCTATACCGTCTTTCGTAGCCGATTTTGTGCGTGTTGAGTCTTGGATAGATGAAGAGGGTACCGAGCTAAGACACTCAAATAATTATGGTGCGATATTCGTTTGGACGACGATCAAATAAAATTACAATAGTTACTTGAATTAAGCAATCCCTCCCATCTTGATCCTAAGAAGCATATTTCGCTCTTCTTCTTATTTGCTGTATTCCAAATAAAATTTGTTTTTTATTTTGAATATAATTTTAAATTTTATTTTACGCTAAGTTGAGAAATTGCATAACCAAAAAGCACTTAGTCCACGTCGCTCCTTCTTTGTTTTAGTGGTGAATCAATTCTACGAGGCTGAAATTATGACTGAATACGTTATCAAGGGCAATGCAGCGGTTTTAAAATGTTCTATACCTTCGTTTGTGGCCGATTTCGTACGCGTAGAATCCTGGATTGATGAAGACGGTCAGGTTTTAACGATCTCCGACAAATACGGTTGGCTTTGTTATTAGTTTTGCATTGTGTATATAAATAAAACAAAAAAAAAAGATTTTTTTTTTTTTTCAAAATCCATAACAATCCCTTTTTTCATTTTTCTTTGTAATTCTCTTTTTGGTTTTTATTTGCTGCATTTTCATTTTCTTAACAATCTCGTATGCGCGACATGTAGTGGTGTCCCAGTTTTACATAACTGAAGCAGAAAACGAATATGTTATCAAGGGTAACGCAGCCGTGTTGAAATGTAAAATTCCTTCGTTTGTCGCAGATTTTGTTTACATAGAGGCTTGGGTTGATGAAGAGGGTGTAGAATTGTGGCGTAATAACACACAGCGCTCCGATGGTATTCTTCTTTCGAAAATCAATTTTAAAGCAATCATTATAATCCCGAAACCTTTTCAAATCCCTATAAATTCGTTTTATGAAAAATTTCTTCTTTTCTTTTTTTTTTTTTTTTTTTTTTTAATTACATTTTAGTTGTTATACAGACTTACGAGTCCGAGGCGGATAATGAATACGTTATACGTGGTAACTCGGCAGTAATGAAATGTGAAATACCATCATATGTAGCCGATTTTGTTTACGTTGATCTTTGGCTGGACTCTGAAGGTCGCAATTATTATCCCAATAATGAAGAGGAAATCGGTATTAAACTTGCTTTCAGTTAACTGGTTAGGTTTAGTGTCCTCTCATGTCCCCAAAAAAAAAAAAAAAAAAAAAACCTTATTTATTTTATTCTATACTTTTAATTATTGTATTTTTAATGTGCGTTTAGTGGTTCATCAGTTCTATCAAACTCGCGTGATAGACGAGTTTGTTCTAAGAGGTAATGCGGCTACATTAAAATGCTCTGTCCCATCTTTTGTAGCCGATTTTATTAGCGTAGAATCTTGGGTTGATGAAGAGGGTGCGGAAATTTTAAAACCTCAGGAAAATGATTCATTGGGTAATCATAACTTAACACTATAAAAATGGAATTTTTATGGAATCTCTTATCTAATATCCTTGTCTGCCTTCTCCTTGTTTACTTCATAACTGCATCCTTATGTTTAAAGACTATCAAGTATGTTTTTAAAATCACTTTTCAGTTGTTCAACAATTTTTCGAATCACAAGTTTATGATGAATATGTCATTAAGGGTAATGCGGCCATTTTCAAATGTCAAACGCCTTCTTTTGTGGCCGATCATTTAGAGATTATCGATTGGTTAGACACTGAAGGTGGATTCTATACCAAAAATGAAACGGGTATTGAAAAGTTGCAAGTTTTGCTTATCCAATTAATTTTTTTTTTTTATTTTTTTTATTTTTTTTTTTATTAAAAAAGGGGGATTTGTTTACCTACGCTCCTTCTCGTAACTCCTTGACTTTTATGTTTGTTTCTGGTTTCTTTATACACATTTCCAGTTGTCCCTCAAGCCTATACGGTGAATGTTATGGATGAAGCTGTTTTGAAGGGTAATAGTGCTATTCTGAAATGTCATATACCTAGTTTTGTGGGCGATTTCATTGCTGTTGCTAGCTGGGTTGAAGACGAAGAACGCGAAATATACCCTATGTCTCAGAACGAAATACGAACTGGTAATGTTTGTTGTGCAAAAAGATTAAAGGTCTTTCTTATTTCCTGCCTTGTGTCCTTGTGGTTAACTCTCGCCTTAGGTTCGCTTAGGTTTTTCATTTTCTTTCATTTTCGAAAAATTCTGTTATCAAGTTTCCGTTTATTTCTTTATATTTCATTATTTGTTATTAATCCTTATCCTTATGTAATTCCATGATCCTAAGAAATTCCATAAGCCATACCAGGCTTACCTTAATCCTTGAAAATCCCCCTTCATTCGTAGTTAATGATATGTACATATGTAAAGTAGTAAAAAAAAAATGCCAAATTTTTCTTTTTTTTTCATATATTAAATCTCCTAACTATAATTAAATTAGTTTTTTTTCACATAAAACAAAAATTACTCTAAAAACTGAATTGGAATATGACATATTACAAGTCAAAAATTTGGGAAAACAAGTCCAAGCATGTTTTGCGAAACAGGTTAGATATCGATTCGAAATATGTTTTTTTAGAGTTATGTCAATATTTGGTATAATGTAGATCCCAATCAGCTTATTAGTGTTATATGCACAGACTATAAGCAAGTTCTGTTTGTAACACAGAGAAATATTTCAATCCCATAAAATACATGTTTACGTGATCAGCATGAAATTTAGACTCCCTCGTATATCCGTCTGCCACCAGTGTGACCAGGTTGTATCGACGTTTAATGTCCTCGTCAGACGTGAAACTTCAATCGGGCGGACCTCCTGGAACTATCGACAATTACCCTGGTTGAATTGGGTACCCGTCAGTCTTGCAAGCCAATTAGAGAGGGTCTATTTCAAGACTGACGTTCCAGATATAAAGGTTTGGGTATGATCCAAATTTTCCTCTCTACTTCTTTAATGCCCCAAGCCAAGCGACCAGGCCTCACGCATAGGCCAAACCTTTGACTGATTATACCAGCTTCTATCAAAGTTTCTCACATTCCGGGAAACACCGACAATCGACAGATATAACCGATGCAGTCACCCCTATTTGCCTAAGCGAGATACATGTGACATTGAGTGAGCGACTCCGATGGATTCCATAGTTTTATTTTGTAATACTTTATAATTATTGGCGTAAAGCGTGTCGTTATGTTCATTATATTCAAACTTGCCTTCAGATAACTCCAGGAAATCCATCCTACTGCTCCACCTGTACAAGGTGAAAGAGTCTGCACGCAGACGACCCCCAACTCTCTCACAAACTCTCCAAGGAAAGCAACCTGCTTTTTCGCAAACATAACCTTATTGATGATCATAAATCACTTTTAAAATTAGACATGGCCCGAATGAAATCATGTCTATCGCAATTCCATTTAAAATTGACGGTAGATTGCAAGATTTAGAGCAGAACCTGGACTGCTTATAACAACTTAAGTTCGAGAAAGAACGTAAACCACCTATGAGTGCCTAGACGCAAAAGTGAGGTGTAACTTGCAATCGCCAGCGGAAGTTAATTTGTTAGAATTTCCCTATGACATGTCGACGATGCATTTCCATGAAAAACTGAGAATACCTAAATACATCTTACAAAATACTTCAGACTTGCAACGAGGTGAAATCCTCCATTTGCTCGTGGGCAAAGTTGTTTGGCTACTAACACTGGTTCATATCAAAGTAAAGCTTGTACTTGAGAACAAAAAGCATTCTTCCGGTAATATAAAATTTGCCTCTCCTGGGATCACCAAACTCTTGGTAAGCGGCAGCTGCAAAAATTTTTTTCACCGAAATGTTCGAAGTTTTTAAAAAAGTAAAACTGGTCAGTCCTTAGAAGTTCAAATGTCCTTAAAAGATCGATGAGCCGAAGTGCCATAGTTTAATCCATATAGCGTTAGTTACACGTTAGTGGTCGGTCATTGCCGCGAAATAAGTTCATTCTCCGAATAATAAATAGATAGGTTTTTTATTTTAATTTGTTTGTTTTTTGCTTTGGCGATGCCAAGTTTATGCTTAATGAAAGGCATCCCTTGCTGGCAGAAAAGTACTTAAGTCAAGTTAGTTAATCTCCGTTTTGGCAAAAGGATTTTATCAATTTAGGTGAATAAGTTGTTCGCAAAAGTTGTGCCCATGAACGCGTTCGTGTGTAAAGAAAGGAAAACAAGTTGTTGACAGACAACTGCTCGTCTTATACATCTTTAGAAGCCTGGAGAAAAACTTGACATATGCAAGCGTCACAAACAATGAATATGCCGATTGTGGCGGTACTTTTCTGAAATCCAAATTGTGCTTGTTAAACTTGTTACCAACTTTAAGCTTAGAGTTATCACCAATACTACTTCGGCTAAATAGTTGTTAAAGAAGTGAAAAAACTTTGCAAAAAATTCTCAAATACAATGGAACTGTATTCGGAAAGTTTTAGTGAGTAATAAATAATATCAACGTTTAATAATCTTTCAAGTAAATAAATTTGGCATTTTTTTTAATGCATGCGTAAACTTATTTAAAAACAGTTTTAAAGGGAATTTTTAAGGCATAAATGGAATAAAATAAAAAATTCCTTTAAAACTAAATTTAAATTAAAAGAATACAACAAAATACAAAAAAAAAAAAAACAGAGAAAATTTATATAAAACAATTGTTTTGAATAAAAATAAATATTTAAACTTTAAGAAATATTTTTAATCGAAATTTGTACAGAATTTTTGTTGTATTTTTATTGCAAAGAAAATTAATCTATTTTATAAGGCATGCTTTCCCTTACGTCAGATGTTACTAACATCTTTTGCAAAAACACTGTAGATTGTACAGAAAAACAAAGCAAACTAAAAATTGTTTGTAAACAATTTCCAAAACAATTTATACAAAATCGTAAATAATTGCTTGTCATAAATTAAACAAAACTTAATAAAATAATTACAGTGTTTTTCATTATCATTTAAGCATTAATTGTATTTTGTAGATTTTTTCATTATCAAAAACTTCTCGTTCAGTGTTTAACATCCATTTTTCTTTATATCCCTCTCTTAAAAAAAAAAAAAAGATGGCAAATATTTAGTCCTACCTTCTGGTGAACTACACATACGTGAAGTAGGTCCTGAAGATGGTTACAAAAGTTATCAATGCCGTACCAAGCACCGTTTAACTGGTGAAACTCGCTTAAGTGCTACCAAAGGTCGTCTAGTTATTACAGGTAAGTTGAAGAAATTTTTTCCAAATTATTTTCTTATAAAAAAATTTAAGTTAGTCAAGTAAATGGAGAGCAAATCATATTTTAACGAATAAAAATCAATGCAACAATAAGAAAGGTCGGCATTGTTTTCATTACCTTACCTTACCTATCTTTATCATAAAATATCAAAAGCTATCTAGACTTTGTTAACGTATATAGTTCACTTCCCGACAAATAGGTTATAGTTAGAACACGTGTTGACATTCTATTGCCGAATAAAGGCTTACGTCAGCAGAGATTCAACAACATTCCATATGCGTTTAGTAAGTCAAAATACTAATTTCCAACGATCCTTGGCGAAAACTCTATGTCAAGTTGTTCTGGATGTTCCCTACACACAAGCAAGCTTAATATACCTTTGTCACCAATGGCGTAGACTGTAACAAAAATAAAGTGTACAAAGAGGGTAGAAAGATCAAAAAAAAATTAATTTGAAAATTAAATGTTTCCGTATATCCGGCTAACCTTTAGCAATTGAGGCAAAACTCTTAAACGGGAGTCGTTTTCTAATAGTTTTCCTTGAACAAAAAGTCATTGATCTATGCCGCAATGAGGAAGAAATTAACATTAGCTGGAAGGTTTGAATATATTAACGATAAATGAGAAATTGAAATTTAGTCCAAAGACTTATTTGCCAAAATACTAATTTTTGATAGAAAATAACCCAATCGTTTACGGTACTAGGCATTGATGATTGGGTGTTTAAGATTTTCCCATACTAGCTAAAATAGTCACTTTTCTTTTTCGGTACATGATTATTATTCACGCCTTTTTCTTTCCGCCTCCATAAAATTTTTGTAAAGGATTCGAATACCAGAACTGATTTTAAAATATGGTTTGCTTTCATATCTTGAAATTATCTTAGTAAAAAAAATATGAATGGACAATGTTTGCATTAGGTGATGTAAGCCAGGTTTATCACTCGATCCCTAGAAATTAATTAAAGAAATTTTTATCAAACTATGGCTTTCTAAATTTTTGGGGCGGAAAGATCGGCCTGGTTAATGATTCATAATTTTTGAGCTGATCTAGATTCTGATTCTGATAGTTACCAATTAACCAAAGGCAACTCTTGTAACTCATCCATTGCAAAGCAATCTAAACTTTTCCTACAATTTGACATTTCCTTGACTTGATCGTACAACTACTCATTGGGATTATTTTCCGTTAATTAAAGTCATATAAGATGACACAAACTTCACGCAAGTTTAGTCATGCAAGATATAGCAGGTAGACGTAGACATCTGGAGAGAGAGAGAGAGAGAGAGAGAGAGAGAGAGATAAAAGTTGTCAGAGATTTTGCTGAAAGCGAAATAATTTCTCCCTTGTTAACCGCTTGCAGTAACTTGGTTAGCTCAGCCAATTGCATGTTCTATACATTTGCCCAAGTTCTAGAAATATATAGACTCAGTTTTGCTATCAGACATAGCGTAGCGTGTTAAAAACACACACACACATTATTCAAATGACATAAATAGCCCAAAGAAATCATTTAAGACGCGGTCGTTGTCCCTTCATATTTGTAATTTCGCATACATATGGTTTTTTTCTTTCATAAACAAAAGCACTCAAGATTTTCGAAAACATTTCTTCTTTGACTGTTATTGCACTTTAACAAGTCGCTCATTATTGATATTAAAATAAAAATTCAAGAGCGAAAATAAAAAAATTCAAATAAAAATGGTTTGAAACCAAAATTGGCGGGAACTTTGCTGACGCAAATAAGGAATGCCTGTTCACTATATTTGAAAAAAAAAAAAAACGAAAAAAAACAAAAGTCTAATATCAGGGCAAGGCGGTATTTTATATTTTTCTTCCAAAAATTAAGATAAAAGGAAATTCCTTTTATCGAATATGTTCTGTTTCAAACATATCTTAATAATAAAAATTTTCATTCTTTGATAAACAGAACTTCTTCAAGCGAAGAACCTTCCGCTAAGAGTAAAGTCAAAAACTTAATACTAACAGTGAAGTTATATAGAAATATTCGGTGTTTGCAAAAATTTTGTTCACGTTTTCAGTCGAAAGAACTTATATTGGTTGGGTAGCGATCCACCCACTGGTTCACTTTCCCATTTCCTCAACTTAGTGGACCCGCGTGCCAGCTAAGCCATGCTGCCCCGATCTGAACAATCGGTAATCAGGAGACGCCATGATGAGCACGCTGGGTTTGGCAGAACTTCCCATTCGAGCTGCAACAATCTATCCTAGACAGCTCTTGCAAGAAGTGGCTAAACCGTTGAACCCAAAGCCGACAATTGCGTTATGATGGAGCAGCATCACCATAAGCCTCTGTATGAAGATGCCGGGCTTCGACAGCTAAACAACAAAAGCAATGAATTTGAAAAAAGAAGAATTTTGAGCGCTCAATGATTAGTCTCGGCGTACGCTGAATAAATCAATAATATTAAATGAAAAATTGTTATTATATGTAGAGGAAGGTCAAAATCATCGCTTCTACTGAGCGCTTCGGTATAGATCCTCGTGGTGATCCCTGGAAACGGCCTTGGCCGGCGAAGAAGAGTTTAAGACCATCTATAACTTGTCGACAAGTTTTCTGAAAGATAGCTTAGGGATACATTGGAGCAAGAACTCTTTTCACATAAACTATTGCTAAGAAGCAAATAATAACCACACCAGTTACTGGGGGCATACTTATATACATGCGGAGACCGCGGGAGAAGCTTGTATGTCCAGCAGTTAACCAATGTGTGTCCTGATCGCTGGAAACGTCCCTTCGGGCGGTATCGTGGTAGTTGTGGTTTCTATCATTCCAAAAGCGAATAATTAGAGGTGATAATAGACCTCAACACTTTCCAGAGTGGGTTTATTGAGCTACACTCAATAAACATATCTAGGTTCTCCAGTGTAGTTTAGGCCTCTAGCTTATAGGGATTGTCTAACTTTCTGCAGGGAGCCGGTTAGACTAAATTAATCCGTGTGCCATTGGGCACCGTGCGGTTAAACCGGCAAAGTAGTGTACCCACGTTTAACCAACAAACACAATCTCTATTTCCTATGTCTTTATCATTTTCGCCTGTAGAATTCGCTGATCAAAATTTTTGCAAACACCTAATACTGACTAATAAATATTTTTTCGTCCTTTGATAAAACGTATTTTGAGCCGCATCGTTGTTGCGTCTATACATCGTAAGCTTCTGCACTACATCAGGTACAAAGTAATAAAAGATTTTCTGACCTATGTTTATAATAGCAATAAGAAAAAACCGCCTTGCTTATGGGATGACCTAATCATAATGTGAGTTGCATGAATTAACTGAAAAATCGAAAAAATCGATATACCATATGTATGAGTAGGGCTACTAAGCCGAGAAATTATTTAAAAAAAAAAAATATTTTCTAAAATCTTTTTAAGAGAATTTTCGAGAATATTTTTTTTTTAATATATTATTTTAGTCTATAAGTTATATGCAATATTTTAACAACAACAATATTTTGATAGTACGCTCAAGAGCTTTATGGAAATGCAATCAAAAAGATTTTTAGCTTAAAATCTCTTTCTTTGCTTCAAAGTGATTAAAGATTTCCTTTTAGTAATTAGTGAAAACAAATTACTTGAGACTTTCGAACTCCCTACCTCCATTTTGAAACGCGTTTTTTTTTTTTTTTTTGATTACATCAAAAAATTGTTGCTCCTTAACATTTAGAATTGAAAACTGCCTGAATGTTGGGATAGAGTACCGTAAATATGTGCGCATTTTCAAATTAAAACGATTGTTAATTTTGCTTAAAATTTAAAAAAAAAAAAAAAAAATAAATTTCTCTTATTAAAAAATTGAAAATAAAATTTAATTTAAAAATTAATAAAGAAAATGCTTGACTTGAGCTTGAGTAAATGGTGCGCCTTGTAGCAAATTTTATAGAAAATTTTTAAAAGCCCTTATAATCCTGAATAATATATGTATGTCTTCATAATAATTTCAAGGTAAGTCTGTTTTTTCTAGATCCTTGCTTTTTTTTTTTTTATTCAAAATTTTTTCGGAATTTTTTCGGAATCTATAAAAATAATGCTTAAATAATAATAAGACATTCAAAACGAACTTACAGAACCAGTCGGGAGAGTTTCGCCTAAATTTCCATCGCAGCAAATCAGTAGCACATTTGTAGCCGTGTCTGCGACCAGTTTGACTTTGTTGTGTCCAGCTCAAGCTTTTCCAGCTCCAATGTTTAGGTTTGTGTTAGCAAAAAAGTGTTCCTATCTCAAAACGAAACAGTTTTCAAATTTGAAATATAATTTAAAAAATTAAAAAAAAAACAAAAATTTAACTTTTTTTTTTTTGAATACAGAACCTTTGGGCAGCGTAGGTCCTCGCTTATCCAACGGCAATGATATAAAAGTTAATATAAAACCTACTAAGACTACTCTAACGCTCTTATGCTTAGCTCAAGCCTATCCAGTGCCATTTTTTAGGTAAGATTTTCGTGGAAAACACCTTCGGGAAACTGCGTTTTAAAACCGCCTGATCCTTTCTTGTCTGCAAAACCGCAAAATAGAACCAAGCAATATAACCTATCCCAACTTTATGTTATTTTAGATAAAACTTAAACAAAAAAAGCATTTTTTTATTCGATAAATTCAGAACCCGTTGGCAGCGTGGCTCCTAAATTAACCAGTGGTGACGAGTCACGTATTGTTAAAATAGGTCAACAAAGCAGTGCCACCTTATTGTGCCCAGCCCAAGCATATCCGGTGCCTTTTTTTAGGTAATACCTTATTAAACCAACATTCAGGTGATTTTCGTTTTTCTAAGAAATTTCTTATTAATTGCATAAAAATTTTTCCCCCAGAGCCTGTGGGTAGTGTTAGTCCTAAGATCAATGCTAATGAGGAAAATATAAAAATTTTAAGGGCTCCATTAAATCAAGCAACAAAGTTGTTATGTCCAGCCCAAGCTTATCCGGTACCGATATTTAGGTATGAAATTCAAACAACATTCAAAAGTTTTCGTTTGAAGGCGGAATTAATTTTGAAATGATCCTTTCCTAAAATTAATTTTTAGAACCTTTGGGTACTGTTAGCCCCAAGATTACAGGAGGTGATGATAATATAAAGACTCCTAAATTTATGCTTACACAAAAAGCCACATTATTATGTCCAGCTCAAGCCTATCCAGTGCCGTATTTTAGGTAATTTCTCCCCACTAAGCGACAAGACTTAAAATTCCTCACAAAAAAAAAAAAAAAAAAAAAAAAAATTTAAAAAAAAATTTAAACGGACTTTTAATTAAAATTAAATCTTTTTCAAGAACCTATCGCTAGCGTGCCTCCTCACTTAACCACAGGGGATGATTCCCGCACTGTTAAGATTAAGCTAGCAGGAAGTGTAACTCTTTTGTGTCCATTTCAAGCTTATCCTGTCCCATTATTTAGGTAATTACTAAAATATCCTTAAATACCTTATATGCCTTAAACGCCTTATGTATGAAAGAAATTACACACAAGGCAGAGTTAATTTCGTCCCCTAGGCTAGGTCTTTTATCAAGACATGTTTTTTATACCCATCACCGAAGGATGAGGGTATAAAAACGTTTGAAACGTTCAGAAGGAAGCATCAGAAACCCCACGAGGCATATATGGCCTTCATTAGCAGCAGATTCTAAAGCGATTCTGTCTGTCCGTCTGCGCAGTGTCTATTGTAAACATTCTCCTCGCCGCAAAGATGAAGCGATCCATTTCAAATATGGTAAGAATATTGGAATTTCTTGCATGCAGGTTGGTATTGAAAATAGGCCAAATCGGACGGAGGCCACGCAAACGGAATGAAAAATTGGTTTGTTGCTCATAAAGTATAGCAGAAAAAAAATTCGAAAATATGAAGGCATATTCTATGGGCGATGCTGTAGTACCTTTCCAAAAATAAAGAAAATTGACCGCGGTCAACCAGTATTGTGGTGTATCAAAATTTTTGTTGTTTTTTTAATACCTTCATAAAGCGTAGTAACAAGCTTCGAAAACTACACAAAATATATAAATTTTTGGCTAGTTTGAAATTTGGGATGCATTTAAATATGCCGGTCTTTTTGTCTGTCCATCTGTCTGTATGCCCAACTTTGTAGGATTTGAGGTACACAGTCTCCTGTTAACGAAAATGAGGGTATCGCGTAAAAATTTGCAAAAGAATTTGGAATTGATTTAAACTTTTCAAAGGACACGCCTACAAAGCCCACAAGCTTAGACGACAAAAATTTTTATTTTGAAAGTAAAAGAAATTAACTGTGCCCGCTACATATTACAGGGCGTGAAAACTTTGTTCTTCTCCTTCTTTTGTGTTTTTTAGGACAACGGTGATGAGTATAGAAGATTCGGTCCCGATCGAATTTAACTTTCTTACTTGTTTAGATATCGTGTAATTGTTAAACTGCCAGCGCGTACAACTGTTGTTGCAAAGACATTCGACTAATAAAAACTTGGAAATTTTATATATGTTCGCATAAAGGGGATCAAAATTAAAAAAAAATTATTTTAAACGATTAGGCCTTCTTTTGCTCATCACATAAGGTAACATTTGGGTACAGTTACAGTGCATTGTGTTACCAAACGATATTGATCAATTTTCTATGGCCTGACAGGCCGTAAAACAATGGATCTATTGCTTGATTGATTTACAATGACAAGTCCTGCTCGTTTTGCTTACAAAAACGTAATAATTCCCTCGCTCTTGTTTGAAATTTGAGTCATCCATTCTCGGTTCCGTAACACAAGGAGTAAAAGATATTGGGAAAAAATGAACAATTTTAATATTTTATTGTTCTCGATTAATTACCAATACCGAGCCGGACTGACGTAAGTAAATCTTCGTAAAGACTGGCACCAACTAGCACAACATTTAGAATTTTTCACATTTTTTCATATGACGACACGCGACTGAAGACAGCGTACGATAAATATGATTTACTTTTTCATTTCTATTTTGTTGTTGTAATTATTATCGCTTTATTTGTCACTTTTTTTTTTTTCAACCTAACCAGATTCCCTTATTTACGCGCTCTATCATCCAACAAGCAGGCAAATTTCTCTTCAAGGCATCGTTAATTTACTAAAAAAGTTCCCTTATATTCGTTTTCACGCTTAGAGCCCATGGGCACTGTTAGCCCTAAAGTTACTGTAGGAGAAGATTTCAAACATATCAAAACTTTAATGAACAAAGGCTTAAGTTTGCTATGCCCAGCTCAAGCTTATCCTAAACCTATGTACAGGTAATTTATCACATTATTCAATAAGTCTCCGGTCTGACTAAGAAAAAGAAGTTTTTTGTTTAGGATTTGGACTTGATTCATCAACTTACTCCTATAAGATAGATATATCCATTTATATATCCATAGATATATCCATTTCAAAGCTTCTCTCACTTTTCGATGATTTTTTTTGTAAGACAGCTTGTCTTTGCTCTTATAGTAGGCCTCAGCTTCGGTTATCACTTTTTTATGTTGCGGCAAATTTTTGTTCTGTACAAAACTGGTAGTCGCTGGCGCCTAGATCTGGAAAATACGATGGGTCGGGAAGCAATTCGGAGCAGCATATCCTTCTTTTGCATGTGCGTTTTCTTAATTTCTACACTCAATCGATCCAACAAATCCTTGTACTATTTGCAATTGATATTTTGTTCGTTTTTAAGAAGTTGATGAATAGAACACCTTACGCATCCCAAGATATGGATGCCCATAACCTTGCCAACTGACTTTACAGTTATTGGTCGCATTGGACCACTTTGACCGGCTGCTATTCACTCAGCTGGCGATTTTTTTTATTCAGATGTATAATAGTCTCCCATTGTCACATAAGTGATTGTCATGAAATGACTTTTTGTGCACTTTTTTCATGTTGCCTGGAACAACGGCCAGTTTTAATTAACCAGTACTTTATATCAGGCAGTAGACTTAATGACTGATGTGTTAAGGGGGAAAAATTAGTTTTCAAGAGCAATCACTTTGTACATTTTCTATAACTTTAGTTGCGGGGAGCTGTTGGCTAATATGGTGCCAAAATTTGAATTTTGTGTAAGGTTTCAAAAAGTTGCAAACTAATCAAGCCACTCTTACATGTGTACATTTCATTTAAAGCAGACAAAAAAAAATTATTAATTTAAAAATCCGCCATAGGGTGTTTAACATGCAAACAACGAGAAACTTCTTTCAGATGATAGCTGCGCTAACGTAACCGAAAAGCATATATTCACATTTGAAATATGCATCATTTGAAAAGGGAAATTCTCCTTGTCTTTTAAAGGCAATTGTATTATTCAATAACCAACCAGTCATAGGCCAGATCAGAAAATGATAAAAACCTTGAAAACTATTAAACTTTTGGTAATAGATGTAAGGGGAAATTTCGTTATTTTTTTTTTGCATTTCACCTCTTGATGTCTTTAATTTCTATAGGTCTTTAGAATTAATATCTGGTGATGAGTCGAAATACTTTTGTAGGCTAAGAGGACTGTACGCACATCTATGTTTAACTCAATCAGCTGCATGCAATGCCGATATTTAATTAATTTAATTACTTAAGTATTGAAACCAGCGCTGAAATAGTTCTTTTGCTTATCGAAAATAATGTTCACAAATTTTTTTAGAACCTGTAAGCAGCGTTAAACCGAAAATTAATGTTCAAGATAAATTGCAGACGCGAGAAATTTCTGCGCTTTCAGATTTCGCTTTGTTGTGTCCGTCACAATCGTATCCTACACCAGTTCATAGGTAAATATATACTGTTTCTGTTTTAATCAGCTAAAGCAGCATTTAAGCAAATTCCTTCTTAATATTAGTATTTTTATACCCATCACCGAAGCATGAGGAGTATATTCGTTTTGACAAAACGTTTGCAACGCCTAGAAGGAAGCATCAGAGATCCCACAAAGTGTATATACTTTTCATCAGCATCAAATTCTAAATCGATTTAAGCATATTCGTCTGTCCGTCTGTATGTCTGTCCGTCTGTGCAATGTCTGCTGTAAACATCCCCTTGGCCGCAAAAACGAAGCTGTCCACTTCAAATTTGCCAAAAATATTGCAACTTCTTTCATGCGAGCTGGTATTGAAAATAGGCCAAGTCGGTTGAAGGACACGCCTACGGTACTAGAACAACTGAGAACACCTCTGCTTTTCAAAAAGAATCAAAAATTGTCTTTTGGCTCATTACTTAAAAACTACAGCAGATAAATCTACAAAAATTTGAAAATTTGCTCTATGGGCGAAGTGCTAGTACCTCTACAAAAATGGAAAAAATTGAACACGGCTACCCGACATTGTACGGTATCAAAAGTTAATTTTTTTTTTTCAACACCTCGATAAGGCGCAGAAGCAAACTTCAAAAATTCAAGGTTAGTTTCAAATTCGGAATGCAACTAAACATGTCCGTCTATATGTCTGCGCAACTGTGTATATATGGCAAATATTATCCCGTTGGCGAAAATGAAGATATCGCCACCAATTTGCAAATGAATTTGAAATTGAACTAAACTTTTCAAAGGACACTCCTATATGCCCACATACACCGCAAAAGCTTTAATTTTGAAAATGGAGAAAATCAACTGCGCCCACTCCCTATTATATAGTATAAGAATTTTGTTCTTTTACTTCTTTTGCGTTTTTTAGGATGACGGTGGTGGGCATAAAAGATTCGGTCCAGACCGAATTTGACTTACTCATTTGGTTTATTCTTATAAGACTTTTTAAGTTATAGAGCCCTTTGGAGTCGTGTTCCATCTAAAGTTAGCAAAGATGATGAATTTGTTTATGCTCGAAGCTTTATCAATCGAGCGTTAAACTTGAAATGCCCGGCTGAATGCTATCCAATAAATTCTTAAAATGCCTTTTTTCTAACTAAGTTCAACAACTGCTAAAAGGAATTGAAAAACTTATACTTAGAATTGAAATTGCGCAATATTGTTATCAGATTTATTCTACCCTGATATTCAAGCCCTTTGCAAGTATTACGTCGTTTAAAAAATTTTTTTTTTTGCTTAATTTTTAGAGCCTATGGGTAGTGTACCACCTAAAATGAATTTATTGGAAAAGGTTCGTACCATGCAGGTTCAGATCCATACAGAATATGCTATGCAATGTCCAGGCCAAGCATACCCAGTTCCATTTGTCAGGTAACTCGAAAATATTCAAAGACAAAAATACGGATAAAACGTAGAATCCCTTCTTAACAATTTGCTTCTGAAATCTCAAATATTATATAATGTAAGAAACCTTGTTAGTAAGCTAAATGGCTTTGAAGGCTTTTCCCAAGCCGATCCCAGTATCAGTTTTTGGAAAGAATAACATGTTGTAGTACTTCGAAATGTTAAAGACTCTATCAGCCTGTATGAAAAATATTTTCTGGAAAAAAACTACCCATGAAATACAAACTTGACCTGCATCTGAAGATAGGTATGTATGTGTTCATTTCAAAAAGGTTTAGAAAAAACGGTGAAATTAAAATTGACTTTGAAGTTCGATCATGAAGTACATTGTAAATTTATATAGCACGAGGTCGTGTATTCTGTTGCCTATGATGAAGGTACCCTATACCAGCTTCTGGACTAATATATTTGAAACAATATTTTTATGTAATTATCTAATCTTTAATTCAGAACCGATGGGATCGGTGGGACCTAAAGTGGATATAAAAGACGAAATTAATTATGCCAGAGGTTCAACTCAACGGAGTTTGTCATTAATATGTCCGGCTCAGGCCTATCCAGTGCCAATTTATAGGTACGAATTAAATTAAAAATCATTCAGGTAGTTTCTGATTCAAGAAAAAATAAATAAATAAATAAAAAAAAAAAACAAATTTTTTTTTTTTACTATTTATAATTTACAGAACCTATGGGTAGTGTAGCACCTAAAGTCGATGTAAAGGATCGTATTAATTGGATAGACAAACCGCAAGGTCGCGATTTTAATTTATTGTGTCCAGCACAATCATATCCAATGCCGGCTTATAGGTAAAAAATTAAAAATTCCAACATTTTTTAAACATATTTTTCCGATTTTGTGGCATTGTGTCCACGTTTCAGACACAACCGCAAGACGCCTCTTCGTAGATGTAACGTTTCAGGGTTTAGTTTAAATTTTATGATTTTGAAAATCCTAACGCTAAAGCATAACCGGATAAAAAGAAAAAGTAAAATAAGCTCAGAAACCCTCGCTGTTTGGACACTTTAATATATATCATGAGGTGCTTTAGACGCATTTCTTGGGGTTTGCCGATGACGGCGAATGACTAATGAGACTATTTTATCCAAATTTTCGGTGATGCATATAAGATGGAAAAAATTAAAGATGTAGGAAAATGGTCGCGACATTGTGCTCTGCTGGCTGTGCTACGTTATGTACACATGTAAATGTTTCGCTTTGTTACGCTGTGCAATTTGATAATCAGTCAGTCATTCCTGTTCTTTAGCAAAAAAAAAAAAAAATTTTGAATGATTCATGCGGTAATTGGGGCCGCAGTGCATAGGTTGAAAGCACATTTCGTCCAAATTTTGGCATTTAGGCATCAAAAATTTCATTACCGTGTTGCCACAGCGAGCACTACTGCTTATTATTGCATGGTTAAAAGACCATTCATGTCTTAGACCCAAAAGCGGCACTAAACATAGACAAATTCGTTTCTCAACAATGATTTAAGGGTTTTCTGAACCCCAAATGTTGCTGCTGAACTGCAAATGCACTCCATCAAGATGAAAACGTGTCTCATCGCTGAAAATGACTTTGTTCAAAAAATCAACATCCGCTTGTGGTTGCTCTGTAATCTATTTAAGAAATTCCAACTGATGTGTAGCGTTCTATTCTCAATAAACCTGGATACTTATAATCTATCGCGAGACCGAAGTTTCATTTCCGAGTTTTAGCTTTTTTTGCATTACGTATGCACAATGGATGCAAGATACCCTCTCTCATAGCTGTCAAATCAGACGAAAGTTAAACAGCTTACGCGCTCTGCTTTAGTATTAGTTTTTCACAGTTGTTTTATAAGAAAAACGACTGTAAACCGAGAACAAAATAAAATGCAAAGAAAATTGACTTACATACAAACACCTGCACCCCAAAATAATTAATTTTAAAAGATTCATTCTAAAATTTTAAAGACAAAAAAATTTATTCAAAAATACTAATCTAATGTATACAAATACATACCAATTAAAAATGAAAAGATGACAGCGCCCAGTGACTTAATAATATGCAGTTACTTTCGTTTTTTAATT